TCTCGGCGGACCTCATGGGACCACTGCCTAGGGGACAGGGAGGATGTCGGTATATCCTAGCCATCCTCGACTTATTCTCCAAGTACATCAAGCTCTATCCACTCAAGCGAGCCACCACCGATACTATCATTAAGCGCATCATTAATGACTATATCCCAACGGTAGGATTATTCCAGAGAATCCTAACGGACAATGGAACGCAGTTTACCAGTCAGAAGTGGGACCGAGTCATGAATGGATTAAAAATCAAGAATCTCCACACAACGATATATCACCCGGAGAGTAACCCCGTCGAGCGTGCCAATCGAGAGATCGGGAGACTACTACGCACCTATTGTCATCGACAACATACAAATTGGTTACGTTGGCTAGATAACGTGGAATTCTGGATTAATAACACAACACATACAACGACCGGATACACACCGCAGTACATCATGCAGGGAAAGAGTACCCCTCTGTCCATCACTAAACTGGTAACCTTCCCGGAGCAGCAAGCTACCGAACCGGAACCAGACATCGTACAGATAGTTATGAAAAGAACTAAGAGACAAGCCCAGCTACGAAACAAACGTAAGGATCGGGATAAGCAGTTTCCAAAATATGAACCAGGGATGAAGATACTTGTCAAGGAGCATAGGTTATCCTCAGCCGAGGACCATGAAACCCACAAGTTATTTCTGTTGTACCACGGACCGTACCAAATCTGCGAGGTACATGAGAACAATACAGTGACGGTACTCAACCAAACGGGACAACCACGAACATACAACTACAAAAACATAAAGCAGTACCACGAATATGAGCCACCCGCTCAAGTACAGCCCACCTCAGATAATCAATAATAATTACAAAAAAAAAAAAAAAAAATGTAAATTGTAAATATAAATGTATATAGAAATGTAAATAACTTGTGCTGCCTGTGATACTAACTACATGTCTATCAACTATGTATATGTGACTAACGCACCCCTCCGTAGGAAAACAAAACAAAAAGAGAATGGAAATGCGTATACAAATCCCGTTGGGAAAGCTGCAAGCTGTCCGGTTGATCAGCAAACGGGAATTGACAAATATTGACAGGTATCTCGACACAAATCAAAAGAAACGAGTTGCCAAATTTTTCCGCGACGAAGCCGCCAAGAGGACCAAGTACCTGGCCAAGCCGAACTGGACATTACCTGAAACACTCCAGATGGTGAACAAAGACGGTTACAGAGCACCTTCCCCGGAAATTCTATCCGATGATTGGGAACCGACATGGACGATGCCCGAGTGTCAACTTGCCGCCGAGAAAGTGTACGTACTTGATACATCACCAGAGACCACCCCAGATCATACTGAGAAGAAGGAAACCTCCGAGGGAGAGGAGGAAAAGGGAACACCTTCCTCCATGAGTACTGTGGTAACAGATGACGACGAAATCGAGCCAGTACATGCCGATCTCCTTGACATCGCAGCATCACCATTACCTGAAAGCGACAGTGAAACAGAACAAAGCGATCCAGAAGAAGAAAGTTCAAAAACCGAAATGATGAATAGCACCATAAAAACCCTGTGGGACAAGCAACAAGGATCTTACCATAGCCTCAAGGAGGGACTATTCACTGCAAAAAAATTCATAAAAGGATTTGAAGAGGTATCCAAGACACAGATGAAGAAGCAAATATACCGAGAGAAACTGAAACAGATAAAGGCCCTCAAACGCCAACATCAGCAATAATCCACAGACAAGTTTTGATTTGCCAAAAATACTTCAAAATCTCAATATTTTGGTCGAATCAAAAAGGGGACAATGTAACGGAACAAAACCGCGGTACCTATATAGGTGGCGCGATCTGTGTCCCGTCACTAAACAATCCGCCCGCCGACCAACACGCGCTCTCGCGCTACAAACATGCCTAGAACATCATGACCACCGTAATCGACGTCCGACAGGCGGAGCACACATCGCCATGCCCATACAGACGATACGGCGGCCCCGGGGAAACTCGTTATTCATGAAAAACCCCGCAACTTAAAACCATTTTCATACCACGATAAAATTCTACAGAATCTACGCTACCGGATGGGTATTTTTAATGTATTTTAAACTGCCAAGGAAACATCGAAATCCGCAAAAACATTTTATACATTTCACACACCATCGATGATCCGAGAATAGCATATATAGACCTCGAAAACACCGTCTAGAGCACCACTTCCCCGCTGTGTCGAATGCATTAGTGAGCCGGACGAGCATACCACTCGTTAGACACGGACACTAAGCATTCGACAAACCAGCATACGCCCTACGACTTACTGCAAGCCGGACGAGTCTTTGAAAGCTCGTTAGACACGGATGCAGTATACAGTCCGCCCCGGCAACCCCAGTAACGCTGTTATTACGTCGAGCCGCCGCCGTCCGAGCCGTGCTGCCCCGTAAAATCCGCTGTCCTGCGCAATAACGCTGTCATTACGTCGAGCCGCCGCCGTCCGAGCCGTGCTGCCGCGTATAATATATTATCTCGTGCCGTGAGACCACGTTGCCCGTAGTCCACCGCCAGTCAACTGGAACCGTATCCCTGCCGTTCGAGTGAGGGTATACAGTTCGAGCGAACAGTTCAATTCTGGTTTGTCGTGTCGGTCGAGTATTTCGAGTTGTTCCTATCCCGCCGACAACCAGATTGAAGAGCATCACCGCTGCACACATTGCCGTCAGTGAAGCTGTCCGAGGATCCGTACATTATTACGTCGAAGACGAGTACGCCGCATATCCAACTCCACCAAGTCGTGAGTTGAATGTAAACTGCCCCCCCCTTTATATGTAAGTCCCAAAATAAACTAGTTTTGCTGTACACTCTCCGGAGTTAACTTTAATTCAATATAAAAGAAAATACTGTTGTAAAATTAATACATATTGTATAAACTCAGATGATGAGCACATTGGTTTTAAATAAATAAAATACTATAATTCTCAACCAATTGCGTTTCATTACAACATCATTGTAATATCAAGAGATTCATCG